TAACATACACTTACTCCTTCAGTACTCTGGGATGAATTCCATCAGGCCCCATAGACTTGTGAACTTTCAAATCATAAAGCTGGTCCCTGAAACCATGATTCATCATATCACATACTAACATTCTAGTATGATATATGCTTCTTTCTTCTCATCTCTCATTCCTCTCAACCTCTGTACCTTACCTGCTGGTGTAATATAACTTTTTATAAAATTCATAAACTGAGGGGTAAAGGATTTTGACTTCTTTGCACTTACCATCTGGGACCACCAAAATATTTGTGAAAATAGAATTGTCAGTGATAAAGCTGCAATCCACAGTGAAAGTTTCTGAAATCTCAGGAGAAAAACCTTTCATCCAGAATTTCCAACCTGTCTTGCTGGAACTGGGACCTTCAGATAATCCAGTTACTATTGCAGAAAACAGCAGGCTGGGGGCATAACTGTTCTGTTCCTCCTGACCCCTAGGCCTTGATCACAAAGGGTGAAATCTCACAGTGAATTTCTTCTGCCCACAGAAGAGTCTATATTGCTTAAGACCTTTATTTAACTTGAATCTGAATGCTAGACTTTGGGCTTTTTTTGTTCATGTTTGGGTTTTTTTTTTACAGACAGAAAGAGTGTCTCCCTTCCTTACAGGCAATATGCTAAAGCTTCAGGGTATTTATGATAATTTCTATAATTTTATCTGAAAGTCATCAGAATTGTGAGCAAACTTACAGAACTCTTGACTTCACACTAAATGATAAATAAATGTATTTTTTCTGTAGACTAATGAAACTTGCACTGTACACTTTATCCATTAAAGTTTAAACAAACACCCCCTGGCATATTGCAAGCACTTTTACCTGCAGAATAATAACATTTCCTTTGATTAAAGCTTGGCCATCCGAAGATCATTGATTAATAGGAAAAAAGTGTGACAAGACTTTCTTGGAGGGAGTGGATATTGAATGGATCTCAGATTTTACAAAACACTCACATTTTTCTTTTTTAATAGGGATGAGTTTCCTGGTGAAAGATGGAAAATAAATCAATAAATTATTTTAAAGAAATGTTCTTTCACTCACTGAGATGTATGTCTTTGTATAAATACAAGTTTGTTTAACTCTCACTAATTCACCCGCTAAATTCAATATCCTTGCAAGATGAACACAAGGTTTTGTATTAGTCAGTCATTTCATGGTTCCAGAGACATTTCCCTTTTCATCTGATTATTCTTTTCCCCACTTTTTTCCTACCAAATCTCTATGTACATTTGGGATTGGCCATCTCAGTAACGTTTCACGGTTTTCTGAGATGCAGCCTTTGTTTGCCCTGAAGTCTTTTAAAGTGACTCACAGGTAAGCACTCACTGGGCTACAAGTGTTATACTGACCTACTGACAGCAACAGAAGGTGCTAGTTTTTCATCTTTTTGAATAGCTGGCCTTTATTCAACTGCTGAAAGAGAGGATGATGTTTCTTGCTGTTTCTACAAAAGGGTCCTCTTGAGAGTTCAGGGCACTTCATTTCTTGGTTGAATTGTGTACAGCCCTTTTATACTTTTTTTGCAGCAGACTAACTTATACCTATCTCAGTATTACATGTGCAAGAATTCTCTAAAAATCATCCAGAGATTCATTAAATTAAATTTAAACTCAGAAAGGAGTTTGTAGATTGTGTAGTCTTGATATCACAGGCCAGTCATATATCACTTTTATACAGAGCCTAAAGACTTGTTTCTGACAAAAACGTAGCTTCTACAAAGGTATCAAATCTTGATGAACATACTAAGCAATGTAAAAAAATCCACGTCTCCTGAGAATAATCGGCTGTAATGGAAATCACTACTAAAAAACTGCACTGTTTTTCAGACTAATTTGCCTGCTTCGGGCTCCCAGACATTGATTCCAGAGGAGCTTTTTAAGACTTTTTTTTTCCTTCATTAAGATACTTATACACTGTCACCAAGTCTTGTGGCTGATAAACTGACTGAGTTTGGGGGGGGGGGGTTCTTTGTGAAGAATTTCCTCTGCTTCTCTTTTGTGAAGCATTTCCTCTGCTTCTTTTATAATGTCTATCATTGTCTCCAATTTCTCAACAACGTTTTTTAAAATGAAGGTGCCAGAACAAAAGGTTCTATTTAGCATTAATCTTATTCTATCACATGGACATTAAAATAATTTCCCCATTTTTCATCAGTGATCCCCACTCTATACATCCCACGGTGGCAATTCTTGGCATATTTTGAAAGCAGTTTTGGAATCAGGATTTTATAACCCTTAGATCAACTGAAGAATCCCACTTAGTGACATTTCCCTCTGTGCATTAATTCCTTGAGATCTATCATTTAGCTAATGTTTAATTCCATGTCACGTATTCAATACTGATATTAAAAGAAGCAATTTTTTAATAATTGTCAAATGCAGTGCTAAGGCAAAGTCTATCCATCCATCTTGATAAACCAAGTTTAAATTAAAAATTAAAAAAAAAGAGGAATTTTTTCATAAGACCTCTTTGCCATAAAATCATATTTTTTCATATTCACATATTTTATCTTTTATTTCTTTTCAGATTTAATCTTTCATCAGATTTTCTGCCTTTCCACCTTGTTCTGAGAGCAGGTTAGCCATTATCTATGTACTCTATGCTATCCCTCTCCTTTTTTTTTTTTGTATTAACATAAATTTACCATTCTTCCAGCCATCTGTCTTTTGCCAGGGTTTCTGTGATACATTTCTAGCCAGCTCATTTGGAGAACTTTGAAATTTTCTCTTATTTTTTATACATGTATCTCTATAAGGCTCTTATATTTCTGTTTATTGGCTACATTTATTAATCAAATCCAATTTTTATGAAACACTGACTTTCATGATTTGAAAAAGAAAAATCACACACCCTATTGCCTGAACTATAAACTCAAAACTTCTGTTTTTCACATCCCTCTGAGTTTTCTGTCTCTCAGTCAGGTGTCCTCAGATTCACCCAAGGGTTCAAAGTTACTGGGAGAGTTTACACAAGCGTTTAGCACTGCAGGTGCAGCACTATCAGATTGACTGCAGGTGGAACCATCTAGAGTGCTGTAGGACAGGGAGTTGAGATAAACCATACACGAAGAGAAATGGAATTTTGGTTCGTTTTACCTTGGCAAAAGAGAGTCTGAAATGAAATTCAATAACACCACGTTTAATAAATATATCTTGGGAGATGGGCCAGTATGGCTGAAAGAGAAAAGCTAGTTAAAGTAACAATGTTGACACCAGAATAAATGTGTCTGCACTGGCTAGAAATGGATGTAGGCTGAAGTCCCTAATGTGACATGGCACGTTGCCATATCCTGGCCCTGGCCCTCATCCTCATCCTTTCAATGCTGTGTTCTGGGCTTTCATGGTTCGACATAAAACCCACACTTTTTGAAACTTAAGCCAGTCTACACCAGTCTCTATAGCCCTTGAAGAAATAACCCGTTGCAAAGTAAAGACCACTTTTTGTCACTCTGTTTATCAAATGACATAAAATGCATTTGGGCAGAAGATAATTTCTGAGCAAAACTATCAAGAGCACACAGTAACCTACCTGAGCACTTATGCAATGCAAATAAGGATTTCATTGGGAAGGGAATCAGGACTGCTTTCCATATTATTTTCTTTTGTTTGCTTGTGGTTTTTTATCTTGTGAAACCAAAACATTTTTTCTCTCCTCTGAATAATCATGATTACTGCAATACCACTTGTGACAGCTGTAACCATTATTTAATAACAAAATAGGCAGAAGGTAGTAACAATGTCAAACGGCTGCTGCAAGTATGAAGAAAAAGAGTTCCTTTACAGCAAATGTGTGAACAAACGAGTATTTCTTGTTTCAATATGTATTTTAGAACTGACCTTTTTTCTTCCGAAGTTGTACCTTTGCTCTTGGTGTCCGTCAGATATCTTATACTGAACCAATTAAAGTGTGGGGACACCCAGAAGGCAATATGAAAAAAGAGTAACTAAAGAAAATCAAATGGTCTTATGAGCCAGCAGGAGAAAGCACTGAGGTTTGAGTCCTCTATTGCTACGTTCTTGCTAAAGCAGGGTTAGAAACTCTACACAGCAAAAGGAGAGAATATGTAACTTCTCTCTGTGAGCTATAAAACAAAACTAGGTTTTCACAAAGCTGTTTATCATTAGCGTGGGAAGGGAAAGGAAAGAAGAAAGTCTGAGAAATCCCTGCAAGCAGATCTTAAAATTTGTACTATATATGTCATTCTTAATCATTCATTGGATAATTTTATACTGCAGCTTTTGGTCGATACCTTACTTGGAAGCTGTTAGCTGCAAGTATGAGAGATTTGAGGACTTTTGATGAGAAACAACCCCTGTGTTTTGAATAAGAAGAGCAGAGTCCCTAAAATTGAAACCACCCTTAAAAAGACCACTCTGATATTAATATTACAACCACCCTTAAAAATACCACTCACAACTTGGAAGGTCATCATTTTATAATATTTGTCCTCCACATGTATTTTCTCAGGTAACTGCAACAAACGAAACTTATCTTGCTGCAGTGACCAAAATGTCCCTGGATTCATCAGCAGGATACAGGACAGATAGCAGAATATTGGGACTTTTTCTTTCCATGCAGGTAACACATATCCATACTTGTACACTTGAAGTCTTCTTTTGACCACTGTTTGTGTGCAAAAGCCAGTGTGAGGTCTTCACCTCACTAGCCTGCTGTTTGATGACTGACAAAAAGCAATGGCTTTGTAGTATCCTTTGTATGGATGAACTTCACCTTCAAAGCAGAGAGCTGAGTAAGGAAATATTGCATCACTTTTTTGTCTCAAAATAATTGCACAAGTTACAAGATGTTAAGGTTGTGTCACAGCTCTGAGTAAATCTGAGATGGTTTTGATGTCTCCTTTCCTCAAACCATAACAAAAGCCTGACTGTTACTTCTACTTTTCATAAAACACCATATTCCTATGGCATGGATATCCCGATAGGTCAAACATTTTAGTTTTTATGCCTCCTAAAGGCAGTCACATCATCATGACCTTTAATTTAATGACAAGGGCCTTAATTAGACCAGAACATCAGCTAGGAAATTAAGCTACCACAAAAGGAACGTCAACACAGTGGGAAGAATCCTGCTTGCAGAGTGTATCCCGCACTTTGTTCTTGGATTCAGTCTCCAGTCTGGCTTCACATGCCTGTTTCCAGTAGACAAGGATATGGATCCCTACAAAAGCAAGTTGAATATTCACTAACTGTCCCAGGCACCAAAGATCTTTGGGCTTTACAGATTATGTTTTGTCAGGGGAACATAGAAACAAAAGCTAGAAAGCCCACCAAGCTACAATGCAGCTCAGCAGTGGAATGCTTACAAATTTACCTTGCATACTGACATTTATTTTGGCCATCAAGACTTTTTCAGCCAGTTAAGTGATTCAGCTATTCGTAGATTTTAAGACCAGAAGGTATTTCCCTGTTTGTTTAGTTGACAACTACAATATTGATGAGGTCAAGGTACAGCACGAAGGTTGTACCTTCCAGGTGACTTCTAGCTCTAACATATAATTCAGGACATATAGCTCTCTTGAAAGACTTCAAATGGAAGAAGTCCACCTACCAAAGACCAGTCTAAGGTGCAAATATGTAAATAAAATACCACCTAGTATACAGTATTTCTTCCCTGCAGAGAGGCTGAGAAAGAGAATGAACCTTAGATAATGTATATCATTTGCCTTGCTTAATATGAAGGTAAGTCTGCTGGGTACTGACCAGTCTTCTAAACAGAGACACAGAAAGCTTCAACAGAAATCTGAGAAATGAAATCTGTTAGTGGTCACATAGCAGCACAGTCTTGGGGTTAAACTTTCCACTGCATGTGAGCATCTGCCAAATTCACATTCACCTATGTACAGTGAGGCCCTGTGCTGTGTAGAGGTACTCTGAGAATGGCATGAGATCTAACAACAATGTGGAGTTAAAATATACCATTATTGTCAAAGGATTCTATCTTCCTAATAACTTCTGACTTGTCCAATAACCACAATTTTTTCTTCTTTCTTCTCCTGAGACAATGCATACTGGCATTCAGTGCTCAGTCATTCCTCTCTCAATAGGCAGGATAATTATCAGTCCTTTCCTCCTCAATGTATAGGATTATCTTCATGTATTAGAAAGTTGTTCACCTGTTCAAACATAAATAGGTGGAATATTGAACACTGTAGCACAAGACATGAAAGTTGTTAATATATTTCCATTTTCACCCATTCTCCCTGTCTTCCTAAATCTTACATTCAGTAACTTGCAGGTAGCAGAATTTAATTACTGAAACACATCAATCACTGGTTTTAGGTCCATTGTGAAAAGCAAATTAGATTTCCTTGTGTAATACAAAGGCCTTTCCTTTGTTTTGCAATAGAAATGACATAGCACAGGCATGAAAAACACAGATAGGAAAAAGACAAAAGAGAGGAATTGGACCGTGAACATAGAGGACATATTTATACTGATGGACATAAGAACATCTCTGGAATAAGAACTGGATGGGCCTGATATATAAAGGCACATTAGTTAGGACATAGGTCAGTAGGAGTTAAATAGAGTCTAACTACTGCAGTAACGTAAAAAAACCCCAAAACATAGAATCATTTAGGGTGGGGAAAAGACCCTTAATGTAATAAGTCCAACCATTAGCCTAGCACCTCCAAGTCCATCAAACTTGCAGAATCCTCCCTTTACTAAGTCATTGCTTCTGAATGAACATAAGAATAGCTGCTACTGGTGAGACCCAAGGCTGACAAAAGACAGGGTTTGAGGTTACAGCTGCCCTAAGGGGCTTAACTAGGGAGGACTGAGCAAAAGGCAAGAATAGACTGAACCCCTCCATGACACTTTGCTAGTCACCACCAATTTTCAGCTCAGGGACTTCCTGGGTTAAGTGTGGCTTCTGTGTAGTTGGTATTCCCCAATGTACTTCTCTTCCATTAACCTCTCTAGTCTCTCCTTGTTTCCCCCTAAACCTTTAGTATTCACTGCATCCTTTGGCAGGCAGTATCACTGATGTATTACCTACTGCATGAAGAATAACCTACTTCTGCTTGTTTTGAAGCTTATTCCTACTGTCTTACTTTGATGATCCCTAGTACTTATAGTGGAAGAGACGGTGAACCATCAACTCTCATCCATTCTCTCCACCTCACTCCTGATTTTATAGCCTTCTAGTATGTCCACTGTAATTTGTCTCTTTTCCAGAAAGAAGAATCTTAGCTTACTTAGCTATTCCTTGCACAGCACACGTCCCATATATTGATAGCCCTTGACAATCAAGGACAATTGAACCTTTTTCCAGTTCTACTACATGCTTTCTGAGATGAAAAGAACAGAACAGTATAAAGACACAGACATGCCATGCATTTATATAAAGGCATAATGAACTCTGTTTTTTTCTCTATTGCTTTACCAATAGTTCCTAACATTTGCAGTTTTGTTGTTGTTGCTGAGAACTGTGCTGTCATTTTCATGGAATTATCAATTTTTCCCCCAAGTCTTCCTCTAAACTGGCAAAGGGTAGGTCAGAACCCCTCATTTTACAAATGAAATTTGGGTGATGGCTTTCCTACAGGCATCACTTTACTTTGACACGCATTTAATTTCACCATCTATCCAGGTTTTGCAGAGCTATATTTTCATTCAGATCTGTCTTTTCAGTTATGTTCCATTCTTAGCAATGCTTCAATAGCTGCCAGGAGCACAATGTACCTGAGCCTGCACAGGGAAGCTGGTTTCTCCAATCCTCCATTCAGTAGGACACCTCCAAATTGAGGTGTCCTACTGAAATGTCAGTGTGAGCAAAGATGAGACATGAAGTCCCAGGAAAAAAATTTAGTCAGGGAGATACAAGAATGAAGCTGAAAGAACTTTCTCTCTGTCAGTTATTAATAATGCACCTCTTTTTGGGACTCTAAATTGTAACTTGTTCAGCTGTTTTATAATGGTAAAGGTAAAATTCAGCATCTGTGTGTGCACATGGAGGTCTTGTCTAAGGTCTGGAAATGAAAAAGAGGAAAAAATTTAAAGGCTTAGGATCCTTATAGTAAAGTTTCCTCTGGACATATCTAGCCCTTGCCACTGCTTTCCTTGTAAAAACTTGATAGTGTCTTTTATTGAGATTAGAGGGAGTGTTTATTACACAAGACTAGATTGGAATTTTGTTCAGCCACAATAAACAAAGACTAGAAAAACACTAGGGAATACACAGGACAGAGATCTGAAACTTGTTTAGTGGAAGTTTTGTGAAGTGATATTGTCATATTACAGTTTTATAAGTTTGTGTAAACTCACTGCAATTTGGATCATGTAGACAAATTCTATGATTCGAATTCTGTTTGAAAGCATGATTTGGTTTCTGGTTCTAATTTTAAGTGTTACATGCAAGGATATTAACACTTACATATTTTTTTTCTTTTTTTTTTCTCATAAACATTCAGTGTGTCACCCAAAAGACCTGGGAAAGGTATGTTGGAGGTTTATTTCTCAGTGTTGTATGCATACTTATTTTCCCTACATTTTGGCTCCAGATAAAGTACTTCCACTATAAAACAGCTTTGTGACAAAGTTTAAATGTGACAGCTCAGGCAAAGAGAATTATTTTGCAACAACTATTGCAAAACAATTTCTTTTACCTAGTATAGCTGTCTGAGCCAAATTCCACCAGGCTTTTCTAAATTACTTTCTCCCTCTGTCCTGTCCCCCATATACTTGAGAGGGTCACTTAACATTTCATTTGTCTTGAGTTATTGTAGTGCTGCTGCCCACTGTTACAATTACTGCATTTCATCTTTTTCTGCATCTTTGCTGAACTCTCTCTTATGTTAACACAAGTAGCAACATTTGCTACGTGCTTAGGGATCCATTTGCGAGCATGGTAGACATGCAGGACCATTACCACCACTAAAAATTATTAACATTCTGATTCCTCCCAGAAATACCTATATCTATTTTGTCTAGAGCCCATCTTTGGGAAATAAGATGGCACAATTTGTCTAATTTGTCATGATACAAGCATGCATTTTGTTCTTAGGTCAGGGTAAAAAAGTGATGGATTCTGGGAAGTCAGCCCAGGAGCTTCCTAAATACAAATGGTACCAGGGCTCCAGGCAGGTGGCAGGGCAGGGTTTTGCCAGCTGCAGCCCATTCCATCACCTCAGCAGGGATAGGGCACCTGGGGAGTGGTCATGGGAACCCCCAGCCCAGGCATCAGGCATGTCTCTGGGGACAGGGTGAGGGCAGGATGAGATGTCAGCCTGCAAGTGTGAGTCAGTTGGGCTGAAATGTGGTCCTGGGCCTTGGGAAGGGTTGGAAATACCCCAGGAGAGGCTGGTAGGGACAGTCCCAACCCATTAGTGTCATCAGGCCACGGTAGTCTCCCCTTGGGCGAACTCCAGCTAAATTTATCCTTCGGTCTTTCCACCTTCCATCTCTCCTACCTCTTTTAAAACTCTTGGGAACTAGTACCAACAGGTTGCAGTATATTAATAGACCTCCTGAGGTGTTGGTAGGCCAAGTTTTAACTGATGCATGACTGAGTGTTTCACAGTCCTGGCTGCATGTTCTGATATTAACTGTGTTTGTCATGCTACGTAAGGGCCATGATCAGCAACTGGCCTCAGGCAAAGGGAAAGTAATCAGTCTTTTGGAGAACTTTTCCAGCGGCTGCCAAGAATTTTCTGCATGAGGAAGCCTATTAACAAGTATCATGTGAGAGAGTGTTTACAGAAAGTCAGAAAATGCTGACCCAGAATAAGGAAAATGTCCCTTCTGCGTAGTTTCACAGCTGAATAACTCTCTGATATTTCATTGAAGGGATTTATAGATAAGAGTTACAAAATAACTGTACAAAAGCGCTCTTAAAACATGTTTATGCCAACAACAACCTGGTCCTGTACGGTAATTTTTGAGCAGAGATTACATTGCAAGGTACCAAAGAATGTTCCTGGGGTATAACAGCTGTGTAAAGTCTTAGAGGTCAGGTGGAGCATC